TCCTGGCATGTGTGGTAGAGTAGTGCATGCACGTGTGAGCAAGGCGAGAGGTTTGTGACAAGGAAGAGAAAGGGTAGATCACGCGTGGGGGTCAGTCCCAATATATTTACAAATATGGAAATCGCTGTAACACCAGCAGAGCAACATCATCTGTTATCTCGCAAATTGCGAATTGTGCAGTTAACGCGACCTAGCATTTTCTCGACGAGGCTCATTAAATCAGTTGAATGTCGTATTTCAGACAATTGACAACAATCCGAGAGCAATAAGGTCTCTGGGGGGGGGGTGAGTTTTTTGAGGGTATACGGCAGTTTGTAGTGCATTTACGTAACATATAACTGGTTGGACGTCAGAATAGTAGCTACCATCCCGTCAGTGAAATTATTGCAGAACCTGTTTTTCGAAAGCACGCTCTCAAGACCTGTTGTAGGCTACATTATATTTGAATATTTTTCTTGGCTGGAATGTTCTTCCATTGGAAGTCATCCGTCGGAAAACCATGTTAATTCGTTGTTAATGGTTCTGTATTATTGACTAGTGATTTCATAATAATTCGAAGTAATTCGTATCCGTGAATTAACTTTAAAACAAAAAGTACTCGAAATTTGCGTGATATTTCAGTAACCGTATTCCATACGAAATATGGGCTAACTTTCTTCTGTACACTGTAAAAATGGCGGCGCAGTAATTGAAAAAAACGAGTAGTCTCCTGTGGAAAGATACATCGTTTTGTTAGTTTACCTCGTCACACATTCTTCGTTGAACATCAAAACATTGACACCCTTGTTCGTTTTGAAGTCACCACAAACTCGTCTCGTTAGCCTATAAACATGTATCACGTAAATTCCAACTTTTATTTTGGGTAATAATTGCCTAAAAGTTCATTTATACTTTTACCACCCACATCCAGGTATCCTACCGCACCATTCCCCGACATCTCGGCAGAGTTGAAAACGGAGCAAGCGCTCACCTCTTCGAACTGTATTGACGCCCGACGTTTCCGTCTCTCGCAATGGAATTCGCATCTGATGGCGTTCCGCCTCACGCTTGCTTCTATGTCCATTAATTTAGAATCTAAATGAAAAGTCAAAAATGGGACAGTGCATGCCAAGCGAAGAACGTGCCCACCTTCTCGCCCCGCCAGTGTCTTCGGAGATAGAGCCCCGGAGCGCATCCAGAACGGCGTTCGGGGAGGGGGCCGTTTCAGGTTGCCTTACCGCATAAACGTTGAAGGAAAAACGACGGTGTGAATTTGTTCTTGAATCGCCGTCCAATCGGTCGTAATGGCAACATTTCTTTGAGAGAGGGTGGCATGCCCCCCCCGGGGGGGGGGGGTTGGCCAGGTCTCTGCGCGAGAAGGCGCGGCTCTGGAGCGAGGAACGCGGAGGAGCGAGCGGGTGCCGACTGGCTCGGTCGCTGCCAGGCGCGGCGGCGGCACTGGCGACGACGACGACGACGATGACGACGACCTGCCCGCCCGCCGCAAACAACCGGTTCGGGCGCAAACTGTGAATCCATTGCCGGCGTTGCCAGCACAATGTTGCCGTAATCCGTCCGCGCCACGTCCCGCCGCGCGTGTCCGGCGTTCCTCGCCACGAGCTCTTCGCGATATGTTCCTCCGGGCTCGCGCGACCCCGCGCCACCCGTAGCCAACGGGGCCGACAGATAGAGGCGTCGGTGGGCCAGCACCGGCGACAGACACGGCCCCTGCCACCCCCCCACAGATCCCCCCCCCGGAAGTCCAGTGACCTCTCACCCCCTGCACGTCGTTCCGGAATTCTCTTCGCAGTGCTAGGTCGACTCGCTCGTTAGGTCCTGATATGGCTCTTCTGCCATGTTGGCGCGCTTCGACACGCTCTAGTTCGTACGATGCAACCCTGTACACATACATCCCACCCGCCACCTACAGTGTTATCGCACCTTCGTAACCTCACCGCACACCAACAACAAGCCCAATCTCCGGCAGTCGCAGAGAAAGGACAAACAAAAGCGAGGAATGGATGGGGTGGAGAAAGAGTTGCGGAGGTTGGCTGGTATGTGGAGTTACAGGGTGATTATACCGGACAGAGTGTCATGCAATTGGTCTGGCGTGAAACGTGGAATAGGCGCGCGGAAGGCAAACAACACCTGCGGTTGAAGTCACTGGATTCGGGGGAGGGGGGGGGGGGGGTCTTTGGGGGTGCAGGGCCGTCGCTATCCCGTGGGCCGCCACGCCATCTGGGCCTTGCTGTTCGGGGGCGCGGGGGTCCCGCGAGCCCGGAGGACATTCCCCGCGAAGAAGGCTTCGTAGGCGAGGAAGCGCGGCACGCGTACGCGGCGGGAAATAACGTGGCGGCGGCACGGGATTACGGCAACATATGTGCTGGAAGACGCCGGCAATGATTTTCACAGGTTTTGCGCCCAACCGGTTTGTCGGGGGCGGTGGGGCGTGGGCAGGTCGTCGTCATCGTCGTCCGTCGTCGTCGCACAGTGCCGCGCCGCCTGAGCGCCGAGAGCGCCGTAGCGCTAGGTCGACCCCGGCTCAGCTGACCTCGCGTCTTGTCCTCGCTCCAAGAGGCCGCGCTATCCCCTCCTCGCGCAGAGACCTGGCCAGACCAACCCCACCTCGGCGTCCCCCCCTCGATAGGCACCCAGTCCTCCCGACCCCCGCGGGGGGGGGGCATGCCACCTCTCGTCCAAAGAAATGTTGCCCTACGACGATTTGGGAGACGGCCGATTCAAGAACAAGATTCAACACGGTCGTGTTTTCCTTCAACGTTTATGCGTAAGGCAACCTGAAACGGCCCTCCCCGAAGAACGCCGTTCTGGATGCGCTCCGGGGCTCTATCTCCGAGACACTGGCGGGGCGAGGTGGGCACGTTCTTCGCTTGGCATGCACTGTCCCATTTTTGACTTTTCATTTAGATTCTAAATTATAGGACATTAGAAGCAAGCGTGAGGCGAACGCCATCAGATGCGAATTCCATTGCGAGAGACGGAAACGTCGGGCGTCAATACAGTTCGAAGAGGCGAGCGCTTGCTCCGTTTTCAACTCTGCCGAGATGTCGGGGAATGGTGCGGTAGGATACCTGGATGTGGGTGTAAAAGTATAAATGAACTTTTAAGGCAATTATTACCCCAAAATAAAAGTTGGAATTTACGTGAATACATGTTTATAGGCTAACGAGACGAGTTTGTGGTGACTTCAAAACGACAAGGGTGTCAATGTTTTGATGTTCAACGAAGAATGTGTGACGAGGTAAACTAACAAACGATGTATCTTTCCACGGGAGACTACTCGTGTTTTCAATTACTGCGCCGCCATTTTTACAGTGTACAGAAGAATAGTTAGCCCATATTTCGTATGGAATACGGTTACTGAAATATCACGCAAATTTCGAGTACTTTTTGTTTTAAAGTTAATTCACGGATACGAATTACTTCGAATTATTATGAAATCACTAGTCAATAATACAGAACCATTAACAACGAATTAACATGGTTTTCCGACGGATGACTTCCAATGGAAGAACATTCCAGCCAAGAAAATATTCAAATATAATGTAGCCTACAACAGGTCTTGAAGAGCGTGCTTTCGAAAAACAGGTTCTGCAATAATTTCACTGACGGGATGGTAGCTACTATTCTGACGTCCAACCAGTTATATGTTACGTAAATGCACTACAAACTGCCGTATACCCTCAAAAACTCACCCCCCCCCCCGAGACCTTATTGCTCTCGGATTGTTGTCAATTGTCTGAAATACGACATTCAACTGATTTAATGAGCCTCGTCGAGAAAATGCTAGGTCGCGTAACTGCACAATTCGCAATTTGCGAGATAACAGATGATGTTGCTCTGCTGGTGTTACAGCGATTTCCATATTTGTAAATATATTGGGACTGACCCCACGCGTGATCTACCCTTTCTCTTCCTTGTCACAAACCTCTCGCCTTGCTCACACGTGCATGCACTACTCTACCACACATGCCAGGAGGTTAGAGGTCGCGGCAGGGGCGTTGCCCCGCTGGGAGAGATACCCGGAGAGGGAAACCCGCTGCAACCCCGACGTGTACGACGGCCCCGCATCTCCCCGCCCAGCGAGTGAACGGCGCCACAAAACATTTAATGTCATCGAGTGCACTAATGACCGTAGCAGTTGAGGTGTCCGAGCACATCAGTTACTCAGTCGAAGAGCGTGGGGGCCGACGGGGCAGGTCGCGGCTGGGGCGGGTCAGCCAGGGCGCCGGGTTCTCTTCCGCCGGCGAAAGCGCCTTCCCGCGATGCGACCGCCGCCGCCGCCAACTCGTGGTTCCGCCTGCCCCGCCACGCGCCGCTGCGCCTCCCCGTCGCTCGCCGCCAGCAACTGAAGCGAGCGGGAACAGGCGGCGAAATCCGCGAGGCGGAATTTCATTCTCCGCGCCCCGCGGTTCACTCATTCACTTGCTTCTGAGTCGCCCTCGGTGAGAGAAGCGCGAACTCGACGCGGTGTGATGATCTCATCTGCGCTGATGCGTGCGACAAGAATGCACCGCCGCACAACCACGCGGAAACGTGAAAGTAGCAGGGCGACAATTGCTTCATACATACTGGTGACACATACTTTATTTTTAATGCTGACCGACCTACGGGACGTTGATTTGATTACGCGAAGGAGAATATTTGCCTTTGAAGTGTCTTGAATCGCAGTTCCATTTTTAGGGTGGATGTTACCAAACTGATTCATCTACATTGCTAACAATCGTCACAATTATTCGCATTTACTGCTAACAACGGTAGTTATTCTCATGGAGATGGTTGCAGGGATGATGAATAACTATTCTATCCAACATTCACGCGCACCTCCCGTACGTGATTTGAACAATGTCTGAGCCTCAGCGTTTTGAGGATCACAGAATTTCATGGCTTCAAACTGGTACACAATAAAACAATTTTTGCATTCGGACACTGGACAATGAAAGGCTTCTAATATCACGACAAAGTCACGAAAAATTATTAGCTTCTCACACAACAATAAATAGGTCTTTCATTTTGAACTCCCCATCAGAATGCTAGTTGATCCTGTCAGTCGAGGAAAAACTCCGCTAGCCGACGGAAAGTCGGCGCCGGATCTCGCCATACAGCTGGGAAAGACCACCGCCACCTTCCGAACGAAAGCATGCACTCCTTAGTGCTATCAGTGCCTTAAGGGCAGTGCACGTTATACTACACACATTACACTAACTCGGGAACGAAAAGGTCTAGTTTTTCGAAAGTTGCTAATCTCACGCTTTTTTAAATGTTATTTTTATTTATTTATCTTTAACTTTTACTTATCTTTAAACTGTATATAGTTAAAACGACGGGAAAGGATTCTGGAACTCAAGAAAACTAATCTAAACTAAATAAATCTAATCTAAATCTACGCAAGGTGATACGAGACATATTTTACGTGAGATCCCGCACCGACCTGTACGACGGCATGCGGGCTTTCCCCCTCCAGCATGTCTCAACGACGCATCACCCGCAGCCAGAAAGCCTGCGGTTTATGACAGGGTGACAATGCTCTAAGCCCCAGATCAGCGCACTACCCTTCAACACCCTACTGGCCAACAGCTGATTTTATTTTCGCCATCTGGAGGAAGGAAAAGCGACTTCGATTTTGTGGCATAGACCGAACATCAATATCCATCCACGTCATCGCGCCGGAGGAGACTTTCTCGGGGAGGTAACTTGAAGGTTAACCCTACGAGTGTGTCCCAGAAATTGACGTAGGCCAAACATGATTTGCATGAGTTGGGACGAGGCAGATCGGGGTGAAGAACGGGAGCGGCCGCGCCGCCGCGGTGAGGAAGGAGAGAAGCAGGAAGGAGGGAGGGGGCCCCAGGGGACAGTGCGCGCTTCCTCGTCATTGTGGCTCTGTAGTGGCCGGGGCGGAGGTCTCCGGCGGGGGCCGAAAAGCGCCGCGCTGAGGTGAGCTCTCTCGCGAGAAGGGCGCGGGATTCGACGCTTCCCTCCGCTTTCTACGCCGCGCGCTCGCGCCCACCTGCCCCCCCCCGCCCCATCCCCGCCGGCCTCCGCCGCCTGCCTGTCACCTCGCGATCCGCGTCCCCGCCACGGCGCCCGCGCATTCCGCGACTCGCGCAACGCGCAGATGGGCGCGCGGGCGAAAGGCCCCGGAGACAC